GGACTCTGTGACCCCCTTACCTCCCCCATTGCCCCAGTTCTGGAAGCTTCCCTGCTCCCCTTTGCTCTGCCTGGTCAGCTGTCCTGTAAGCACCAGGTTCTGGAGCTCAGTCTCTTCCCAGCAGTCAGCCGAAGGCTGCTTCCCTGAGCTCCTGTCCCCTTCTGGCTCCCTCCCACCTTGAACTCAGCACACCTCAGCCCTGCTCTCTGCTCTGGGCAGCCCTCTGCAGCCCCCGCCTCAGCCCTGCTCTCCGTGGCCCTGCCCACTCCTGGCCAGCTCAGAGCACAGCAGCCGTGGGCTTGAGCCCCTTCTAGCCTCCTGAGTTCAGTGGGCTGCCTGCACAGCCCTGTGCTGTGTGCTCTGGATGCCCAGAGGCCTTGTGGCCACTCCTGGCCTTCCCTTGCTCACCTGCTGCCCCACTGGCCTGTGCAGGATGCTTTGCCCCTGGTGCTTTGCTTCTGCTCCCCTGTGCTGTCCTCTGCAAAAAAGGTCCCCGCCCTGGGCTCTGCAAACCCTCCCCAGCCCCTGTTAACCTGCATCTGCTCAGCTCCTGCAGGGACCCAGGGACCCTGTAGCTGGACCCTGCAGACTCTACCTCTGGGATTGCCCTGGTCGCCCAGCTGCTCCAGGACACTGTGGCTATTGTCTGTTCCCCTGAGTTCTGGGAATGTCAGCAGACAGAGTGGTCCCCGACCTGCCCCAGCTCACCTGTAACAGTTATGTTCTGGTTCCTGAGCTCCTGGGGCTTCCCGGGCCCCTCCAGCACCACCACCTGCCCCAGCTAAGCGGCAACTTCTCTGCCAAGTTACCCTGACCTCCAGGGGCTTCCCGGGCACCTCCAGCACCTCCACCTGTCCTAGCTAAGCTGTAACTGCTCTGCCAAGTTACCTTGACCTCCTGGGGCTTCCCTGGCACCTACAGCACCTCACCTGTCCAAGTAAGCTGTAACTGCTCTGCCAAGTTTCCCTTACCTCCTGGGGCTTCCCGGGCACCTCCAGCACCCCACCTGCCCCAGCTAAGCTGCAACTGCTCTGCCAAGTTACCCTGAGCTCCTGGGGCTTCCCGGGC